ACCCCGCCACACCCACCCTTGTCTCAACTCCAACAGCAAGCCCCACCCCAACCTCACCCCTCAACGCCAACCTTGATCCTCAACCTCAGCCCTCACCCACAACACCAACACCCAACCGTCACCTCCCCCCAACCTCCATCTCCACCCTCAGCCCTCTCTTCGCTGTCACCCCGCCACACAAACCCCAAACCCGCCACCTTCGACCAATCCCCCGCCCTCAATCACCTTCACCCGCCATCCTGCCCTCAACTACCGTCCTGCACCCTCACCCACCACACCCCTACCCCACCCCGTCCACGCTCAACCAACCCCTTCTCCATTCATCCCCGCCAACGTTGCACCCATCAAACCCACCACCCATCCCGACCTAAACGTCCTACGTTAGGGAAGGCTGGGGTAGCGTCGGAGGGGTGGAAGGGCACACCGGGGATAGGTGGGAAACATGCCCCGAATCGACAACGACGTCAAGCTGGACTTCAAAGACGTGCTGCTCCGGCCCAAGCGAAGCACGCTGAAGACCCGCAGCGAGGTGCGCCGGCTGTTGGGGGGCGTATGGGGACGATGCCTCCCCCCCAACGTGTCTCTGTCGTTTTTTTTTATTTGGAGGGGGGGAGCAGGTGCGCATGGCCGACCGGAGACTTGTGCGCGGAAGGGCAAAAAAGGGTGGAGGTGTTGTCGGCGGCACACGCTTTGGTTCAGGAAATGTCCAGCGCGGTGGGAAATGTTTGGAGGCGGTGGGGGTGATATTTTCCTCCAGAAAATATCGGCATAGACCGCTCATTCTCTGCTCATAAGGCAAACCCCTCACCTCTGGAATCGACTGAGTGAACCTCCTCTGAACTGCCCCCAGTGCGGCTCAGAGAAGGTCGATCCCTCCAGGATGAGGGGTGTTTGTCTTTTGAGGAGAGATTCAGCAGGTTGGGCCTGTGCTCATTGGGGTTTAGGAGAATGAGAGCTGATCTTATTGAAACAGCTCATATCCCGAGGGTTGGGGTTGACAGGGTGGGTGCTGAGAGGATGTTCCCGCCTCGTGGAGGGGAACATAGAACTGCTGCATAACAGAGTTTAAAAATATGATGGGTGAGGATGAATTTATTCTCCCAGCGTTATCCTTTGGTGTTCTTTTTCCTGGCAAGCAGCCAAAGCTCTTTCAAAGCTGAGTTGGAAAGGATTTTTTTTACCTACAAGAAACTCAAGGGTTGTGGGAACAGGGAAATGGAGTTCAGGTCTTATTAATGATGGTGGCATGGTCAAAATCAGATCTTATTGAGGGTGGAAAGCAGGCTCAAGAAGCAATAGAGACCATGAGGGACTTGGATAATTGTCTAAAAAGGAGCGATGTGCAGGGCCGCGGGTAGAAGTTGGGGACTCCCAAGACGACTTGCTAAGTTGGAGTGCTGGTGCAGACCTGATGGGCCAAATGAACTCCTCCTGTGGTTTAACAATTCCGCGATGCTGTACCCCACCTTGCAAGCTGGAAGTGGGAGGGATGGTGATTGGGTGTTGGCTGCTTTCTCCCACAACCTCCTGTACCAACGGGGTGCTGAGGTCCAATGGAAACCCCTCCAAAACCATGATTAAGATTGGCAGGGTGGGGGCATGCGTACCACAAACGTCCATCCCCACCCCCACCACCCCCCCCCCCCCCCCCCCCCCCCCCCCCCCC